CCCTAGATTTAACACTTCTATGAACTAGTATTAAATTACAATTGTTATTGATGAAACGATACCTTTGGATAAGTACAATTAATGGTACCAAATTAATCATGATTTTAAAAGTAAAAGTGTTAAATAACTTGTTCAAAAAATCAACTCAAATAACCATGAAAACTTCACTTAAAAATACAGAAATTCATCCATTCCCTAGGTATACAAACTATCGAAAGATAAACGTTAAGAAAATAAGAACAAAACTTGTATTATAAATAAACATAAGAATCAATGCAAGAAATAAAGTGATACAAAAAATGTCACACTTCTCACTTGAGTTTCAATCTCTTCATTTTCATCCTCAATTTCATCTATATCTAGCTACATACAAGGATTGAATGAAACTAACTATACTAAGTTATACTACATTAATGAATTAGGAAGTTCCAGTGAAAGACTACATTTGTGTAGTTTCTCTAGGTTTCAAAGTTATGAAAATATGTATTCAATCCCCTATTTATAGATGAATTCAAGCTCCAAATGAATTGTTAAAGTTGATGTGCAATACTTCTTGATATTCCCAAAATATTGTTTCTACAAATTTTCATGCTCTTTTTTACAACTGCATTCAAACCTTTTGCAACAAGTCTTGCTTTGAAGGTTAGTAGCGAACCATCAGTGTTACGTTTTCTTTTAAATATCCACTTACATTCTATAGGTTTACAACCAGGAGGTAAATCACATAACACCCATGTACCATTTGACATAAGAGAATCCATCTCATCATTAATTGCTTCTTTCCAAAAAGCTGAGTCCTTTGAAGCTAATGTTTCTTTATAAGTTTTAGGATCCTCTTCCAAATGTAAAAGTATAGGTATTTTATTGAATACACCATTCCTACTACCTTCAACTAAAAAGACTAATGACTGTGAATAAATAAAATTTCGATCCAAATTCTTCTCTTTTTGTGCTCTCTTACTCCTTCTAAGTTCACTAGGAGTTTCAACTATTTTCCTTTTATTATCATTTGTAGAAGTATTAGGATCCATAGCCGTGTTTTGTGGTAATATAGAATCTGGTTTAGAAGTTGAATCACTTAGAAAGCTTGTTTCTAAAAACTCAACATCTCTAGACTCCATTATTGTATTTGAGTCTAAATCTAATAATCTATATGCTTTAGAATTTTCAGCATATCCCACAAAAACACTTTTTAAGCCTCTTGGTCCTAATTTTGTTCTTTTAGGATCAGGAACCTTATAATAGGCTATACAACCCCACACCTTCAAATAATTTAAATTAGGTTTTCTTCCTTTCTATAGTTCATATGGCGAAACCTTTATCTTCTTTGAAGGTATTCGATTATGTATATGACAAGCGGTTAATAAAACCTCTCCCCAAAGGTTAAATGGTAATCTAGCATGCATAAGCATAGCATTTACCATATCAACCAATGTTCTATTTTTCCTTTCGGCTAAACCATTTTGTTGAGGGGTGTATGGCGCACTTGTTTGATGGATCAAACCATTTTCTTCACAAAAAATAGAAAATTCATTTGGAAAATATTCGCCTCCTCGATCACTTCGTAGGATTTTAATTTTCCTTTCCAACTGATTTTCAACCAAAGTTTTAAACAATTTAAACATATCAAATGCCTGATCTTTTGTTCTCAGTAAATAAACATATGTAAATCTAGAATGATCATCTATAAAAGTTATGAAATATCTATTTCCACCCCTTGTTAAATGACCATTCAATTCACATATATCAAAATGTATAATTTCAAGCAATTTAGAAGTTCTTTCATTTTTTGGAAAAGGTTTCTTAGTCATTTTTGCTTGTAGACATGTTTCACATTTTCCAAAATTGTCGTTTGTGCAAGATATTAATCCATGTTTTGACATGAACTTGATTGATCTAAAATTAACATGTGACAAACGAGCATGCCATAAATCAATGGAAGACTCAATCAAATAAGCATAAATATTAATAACTTTATTGATACTTAGTTTGTACATGCCATTACATGAATATCCTTGGCCAACAAATACATTATTTTTGGATAGAATTATTTTCCTGCCTCTATGACAGCCTTCAATCCCTTGTTGCATAGTGCACTTGCGGAAACCAGATTCTTCCTTATGTCGGGAACATGATAAACATTGGTCAGAACCAACGTTTTGCCATAGGTAAACTCCAATTCAACCGTCCCCTTTCCAAACACATCAGATGTGTTATGATTTCCCATTAACACAATTTGATTTGGGGCAGCAACTTGATAATCTTTGAATAGATTCTTGTCATTGCATACATGAACAGTAGCACCCGAATCATACCACCAATCATTAGATTGGCAATTTGTCAAGTTACATTCAGTTACTACATTGATGGAAAGTCCACCAATCATAGCAACAATTTCAGCACTGTTGGGAAGAGAATCTTCAACAACATTTGCCTTCTTTTGTCCAGCATTTGCCTCTGTCTTCAATTTCTTGTAGAACCTGCATTCTTTCTTAAAATGCCCTTTCTTTCCACAGAAAAAACATGACTTGTCTTTCTTATTATTCGCAGAATTTCCAGAAGACATATCTCCATGTTTTCTCTTATTACCGGGCTTGTTTCAGCCTTTTCCAGATTTTTTAGTACCGCTAGACTCAATATTATTCACCTTAGTACCAGATTCCAAAGCAAATTTATTCTCCCGAATACGAGTTTCCTCTTCAATTTAGATATGCTTTGTAAGTTGGTCTATGGTGAAAGTTTCAGGAGTGTGCAGTAGTTTCTTCCAATAATCATTCCAAGTGGATGGTAATTTTGCAATCACAGCACCCACTTGAAGTTGATCCGACACTTCAATACTTAAATCCTTTAGTCTAGACACTAACAGAAGTAATTCATCCACTTGATTCATCACAGACTTGTTATCTAACATTTGAAACTCAAAGAATTTCATAGTAAAAAATCTGTCCGTACCTTGTTTCTCAGACATGTATTTGTTCTCCAAAGCCTTCCAAATTTCCTGCGGTGATTTAAGTGAACGAAACAGATCATATAAGCGGTCTGACAAGGCGTTTAAGATGAAGCCCCTACAGCGAACTTCGTCTTCCTCACGTTTCTTGTGACTTGCCTTGATCTCATCAGACTCGCCATCAGATGGTTCAGGGATTTTTGGCAGATTATCAGCCAACAGATATGCAACGCCCAATTCCATGAGAAGAAACAGCAACTTGTCTTTCCAGCGGGTGAAATTGGTGCTATCAAACCGATCCAACTTGATCATATCAGACTTGAAAAATTTGTTCAGAAGATTATCCGAACTGGTGCCCTCCATGTTGACCAAATTTCCTTAAGATTGTTAGGAAAACAGTAATAACTACAACAACAAAATACGACTTTGACGTGAAAATTCACTTTCCTTAGGGAAATTTGCCCCCACTATTCTACTACCGGGTTTGCAGCAATTCCTTTAGGAATAACAAAGCCAATCAGAATTTCCACACAGTAGTATGCAGAAACTCTCCCAAGACGATTTAGAGAATATTGTTTTGAACGAAAATAGAAGAAGAATAAAAAGTAAAAGTAAAGTGAGGCCTCTGTTATCTGGACGCTATTATTTATAGCGTTTAGATGCCCCAAAAGAAATGTCATGTCACACTAGGAGTTTTTTTTCTAAAAAAGGTTACTGTGGAAATAAACTCTACTTATATTTATTAGCTAACTAGTTATTCACCAGTGCATTTGCACGGATACTTTTTCTATTTTAAAGCTTATATTTTTTGGAATGAAAATTGATACAATAGAACTAAAATTATTATTTTATAAAATTTAATATACTAAGTGTAAGTCAAATATTTAAATTAAATTGATTAAAAATAGTTAATTCATGGCTGATTCTGTTACAACTATATATATATATATATATATATATATATATATATATGTAAGCCTCTCTTAATAAAATGGAAAATTTTAAATTTGGTATTAGGTTGTCATTAATAATTTTGTACCTTGATAAGGATTCACATATACAGAGATAAGGATATAATGAGATAAGTGGTAGTAAAAGTTAGTTTTATCTTTCTTGATCTGCTTAAACTATCAAAGTCAATTTAGTTCATAATTCAAGGATGTGTTAACATTCTTTATTTTATGAAATCATGTTTGGGGTCTAAATCTAGGAGAATTGTGCAATTTTGAAAGGGAAAGAAATAGACTTCCAATCAAATGCTCAGGATTTTTTAGGTAATGGTGTATTCATTAATGGATTAAAGATACTGATCCTCAATAAATTCTTGAATGTGCATATACCTTTGCATAAGTGCTTACAGAACTTTAGCAAATTGTTCGAGTGCACATATATCTTTAGTAATTTACTTTTTCTACACAATTAGATACCCCTTAGCAGTTGTTACTCGCTTTGAAATTCAATATTTTCTAATTGAATTTTCTTTGAAAAGAAAAAAGTCATCCATATGATTCGGCATATTTTTATACTTTGCCACAAAACTAATCCAAGTTTCAGGTATACATTTTATAACTTCTTACACAAAAATCCATGTTTAAGCATATTAAAC